ACGCTTCAAGTGGTCCATAGATTTTGTTTACGGGCTGATAGTACCCTTTGTCCGAGCCAGGGGGTCTTCTTGTAAGATATATTTGGAAAATATTTGGTTGTGCTTAAAAGAAAAATCTTGGTTGCTCTTTCAAGTGTATTATACTCCCTTATAATATTTTTTGGTAGGCTGTCCTCTAAGATTCTTAAACACAAAACAATAAAAAGTGACATGATTAACTGACTGTCTGATTTCCTGATTGTCTGATTCACACTCGGTAGGGGGAGGGGGAAATCAATAAACTGCTTTTTTATTATTGTATTTTCTTTTCTATGTATAGGTTTTTGTGGAGTTGTAATCATTCTTTCAAATTCTTATCCAGTTAGAAAAAATAAATATATAATGGTTTTCTTCCTTCTGGCTACACACAATAAAGAAACTTGTCTTGTACTACTAGAAAGCTAGTGAGAATACCATAGCTCTTGTTCTTCTTTATGGAAATAAATTAAAATAAATATTGACAAAGTTTTTCTCTCTTAAGATACTTATGTTACCACCAGTAACATTAATGAAATATCTGTTTAGACACTTGCATACTAGAGATATGCAAAAGTGCAATGCAGTCTAAACAGACTGTGTCACAGAAATGATTGCTTTTATTTCAATGTTCTAAGTTGCCACAGGGAGTATATTGGGGCATACAAACGTTTAATTCTGTGGTAATAAATAGAAGTGTATACTTCCCCCCCACCAACAAAAGCAGAGGATTTATGAATGAAGTATTTCTTTGATGATGACGTATGTTACCATCAAGCAGAAATACAGGACATAGCTCTAGAAAGCTGTCATGTTAGAAAAGGATGGATTGCAAAACATCCAGACATCCCTGTTCCTTAAACCTTGTAACAGTTTTAGATATATCTAGATTACTAGACATTTCTGTTAAGGAACTGTATACTTGTAACATGCATCCTTGAAAGAAAATCTTGCTAAAATATCAGTATTTGTATTAATAGGCAAGAACATATAAGACATCATGTACCTCTATCCAAGCCTAAGTACTGCCCAGCCTTCTGTTCTAAAAAATCTCTAGATCAATCTGAATGGTGCTTTGAGCTCATGATGTGAGGGGATCGGTGAGCTGTTAGTACTTGAACTAGTAAAGCAACTTCTGTCCATAAGATTGACTTAGGACAACTCATTAGTGACTAACATAGCTGTGTCATCACTTAATCATCTATGCTGGTGATCTGCCATGCCAAGTAGTTTGACTTTCACAGAGGCACTCCTCTCATTCAAGTTACAGTAGTGTGCACGTAGAAAACTCAAGCTAACTTCACTATAGAGAAAACAAAAAATAATTGAATTTGACAATTCTGGACTTCATGGAGGAATTGGGGATTTTATTGGCAAGCACCATTGTTCTTTACACGTGTTTCTACTTATCAACTGAAAGAGAAAATAAAATACAGTTTACAAAATACATGCTTGCCATTAGTAGACTATAAATCTGGATGGTTTAAAGACACAGAAAGAATTCTGGAGTCAGATTTGTAAAGAAAAAGGGGCATATGCAAATATAGACTCAGATTTTGTAATTTTTGAGTGTTTGCTAATGCAAATTGAAAACGGGGCAAAGAATCTCCCAGCTTTAAAATGCGAGTCAGAGCATTAAAACTCAGGTACATGAAAGCTGTCGCTTTGCCAACAACAAGGACTGCATTGGGTTCCAAAGCTAACAGCATAAGCCTTCGGCTGGAGCTAAAGAGCAAACAGATAAGGGCTCCAACTGGGAGCAAACAAAGTCCTGATATAAATGGAGAAGATGTGCATCCACAAACACATTACACAGCTTGGGAATACATATGCTGCACTGGCTAGTGAGAACAGCAAAGACACCACCACTTAACCTCTTACTGCAAGTCTAGCATTTGGCACTAAAAGTCACATTTTTTGTAGATGAAATATATAATACATGCTAGCCAGTACGTTACACATAAATTAGAGAAGAAGTGGCCAGACACTGACACTCTAGAAACAGTTGGATATATGGGAATCGGAAGCAAATTGGTGAATAGCAGGATGTTTACGTGAGTCACCAGGATCTGAGGGGTGCCAGCAACAGCAGCATCAAGCCCTCAGGCTATGCTAGACATTCATAAGAAAAAAATCCTTTTTGAGGTTTGGAGAATTTTGAAGCAGAATTTTGAATTTACTGTTGTTAACCAGATGATAATAAGCTGTGCTAGAGCATGTTATTGGAAGCTGTCATTTTCAGCTGTCATTCTTGCTAACAGAACTCCACATAACATGATGCAAAATATTGCACATATTTCACCTACTCAGCTGACACCTGCTAGCAAGATAAGACTGTGAACAGTAAAATTAGCTAAGTAGAGTGAACAAATGGAAATTAGAATTTTGTGCAGTTTTTAATATTTGTATTATTTACTTATTTGTTTGTATTTTGTTTAAAACTCATCCAATCTGGGTCTCATCAACTGTTTTCTAAGGGGAAGAAAGAAAAACAAAACATAAAACTCATATACATATAAATAAAAAGGTTTCCTTCACTTCTTCAGACATTTTTACTAAAATCTGGAATGCTCCTAATGTTTTCATGACTAAAACAAAGTCTTTTCCATTTATTAGCTAGCAAAAGCTAAATCTACAAGAGCTTAATCAAGGGATAATACATGTAAAGTGTCATTTCTTCTGTCCAGCCAAGCGACGTCAACTCGACAATTGACAATTCACTGGGTCTACTGAAAGAACCTAGATCCATAACTTAATTACATAAATGTATGTTAAGATAGATTCAACAGTAATCTGAATATCTGATTTTCATCACATTTCACAAAGTCAATACATTTCTTTGCTTCTCTCCCTAATAATCACAGTATCATTGAAAAAGAATGAATACTGACATCTGTGTACCTATAAATGTCTTTGGCTTTGGGAACTCATTACAGAGGAACATATAAAATAATTCAAACGTGCAGTTTTCCAATTTTGAATTTTCTTTTAAGATAGTCTGACCATGACAATTTTCATAGTGCTCTACTTAAACGGGTTTTTTGGTGGTGTTGATGGAGACTTTACTAAGATTTTTAAAACTGCATCTGATCAATTAGCTGATGAATTCTTAGGGAAGAAAGCTGTTTACTACCAAGACATTCAGCTTCACTGTTTCTATAATTTTAAACTTTCCCAAAGCTTTTAGATTAATTTTCTTCGTAAAGATTAAGAGTTGAAGGAATTATCAGGTACCCAAATCTGGGCACACATTTGTCTTGAAGAATTTTTAAATATGTGCATTTTGTCCAGAGAATCATGGCAATCCTTCCCTTTCAGGAGGAATGGAGATTCAACCATTATCATAATAAACGCAAATCATATAAGGCACATACTAAGCCTACAAGCCCCTAGTCTCTTAGAAAATTAGGAAGAGTGAGAGAGAAAAACCCATAGAGGATAAGTCCACACTATCAGAAAAAATAAATTAGTGCATGTGTAGCTCTGTGCTATTGTTAGACTCTTTCAGTATTCAAGATTTGCATGTTTATGGCCAACTTTATATCTCTAACAACAGACAATAGAAGGTAGAGATACATATTTTGTCAATTTTTTGGTCTTTCAAGCCTAAAGGAATGCCAGTTTACCTTTTTTATTATTGTGTAAAAGTAATCTTATCTTACAAGCATCACAGTTCTGGCATCACAGATTTTAATCTGTGACTATACACACTGGTGTACTATTTTTAGCTATAGCATATTTCATCTTTATTTGAAGCAAATGACCACATGAAACGTAACTGCTTGTTCACTGAATAATACTAGATCTTTAACTGCATGCAATACTACACAGAAGATTTGGTATTAAGAAATAGTCCCACTTGGCCACACTGACTTAACTCCATTAAGAAACAACTTGAGATAACTCATCCACTTCTAACAGCTTCCTAATAGCTATCCTTACTATTAAGCAATTTTCTTCTTTTATAAAAAACGTTCCAATATTCAAGCTTTCAGACTTACATTTGCTATAAGGTCCTAACTGCTGCAAAGACTTACTGCTGAGTATTAAGTAGTAGAGAATATTTGCACTGATTTTCAGCAATGACATTAGGGAAGTCAGAAATCCAGAGTTTTGGGGTTCAACTTTTGGTTCTGCCATAGACTTCCTGAATGAACTCGGACAAGTCACTCCAGACAGATAAGTACTTAAAGATTAACATAAGAAGCTATTATTTGACTGGAATGGGGTTAGGCAAAGAAGTGCCTATCTGCATATTTAGGTATACCTTTAAAAATCTGTATGTTCTTTTTCTCCATTTCTCATTTGTAAAATGAGGATGAAACATATCTTTGCTTTCCCATTTTGTGTCCAGCTGTCTATGTTGCAAGACTGTGGAGGTTCCATACCTTAATGCTAAAGTAGCATTTAAAGGTAGGGGCTTATACCAGTAGCAAAAGCCTTTGAATATCTTTTGCTGGTACTATGGAGACAATGTTGGGTTCACAATTCCTGAGAGTTTTGTTGTTTTGTATGTTTAACAAATGTTTTTCAGTCCCCAAGGTAAGCAGTGACAGTTGAGAGCTCACCTGGGTTTAATTTATGTTAACATTGTGAAATATTTTGCAGAAATATCGCAAAAAAAAGAGCTCTTAAGCTTACTCAGAAAAGACATACTTAAGAACTGTAGGCTTGCATGAAAAACGCTAGTCCAAAGGACATAAATATGATATTACATTTATCCAAATGGAATGAGCAAAAAACAAACAAAAAAGCAAAACCAGATACCAAACAAGCAATGAATAAATTTGTTTCTAAAGCCTTTCTAGCCCGAGGAATGCACTAAGATACTGTGACTGGAAGAATAATGCACTTGGGCTTCTTTACTGCAAAACTCACCAGGATTTCTTGCTTATGGTGTTATAAAACATAGCTTATTTCTCATCTGAGCATTGAGGTTTGTTTAAGAACAAAAACAAAGCTCAATGGTTTATGAGGTTACTTACCCAGTATAACACATCAGTCCATCCTTCCATGGTTATACACTGGAACACAGTCAGCATTGCAAATGCAAAATTATCAAAGTTGGTTATGCCTCCATTCGGTCCAACCCATCCACCCTTACATTCAGTGCCATTCATGACACATTGACGTCCATTCCCTGAGAATGCACAAGGTGCTGGGTCTTCTTCAACTAGTATATCTGAAAATTGACATCCCCCGCCCCCCCGCAAAAATAAAAATCAGAATGTGTGAAGAAACATCAGACATGTTGGAAGATAAGTCCAGATATCAACTTCAGAAATGCTGAGAAAGGGTATTCATGTGAGCTTCAGAGCTTTTAGTGTCCCTCACATCCAGGCCCTACAAGCCTAAAATTGTTTAATCAAAACTGAACAAATAAAAGAGTTTAAATAATTGACCAGTAAGAAGAAACATGTTTACAGCTGTAATAATACAATACACCTTTTCAGAATCTCCCCACGCTGTTTGATTTCTTCTCATTGCTCTTTTTTCACTTCATTACACTTCAAATTAACATATTCCTTCCTTTCTCCAAGGAAACAGTTCTAAACCAACCCCTGCATTTAGTCTGTTTCACTATAAGCTTAGCTGATAGAAATCTGCCCATAGCCAAATAAGATCTCTCCCTCATGATGATGTTTCACTCCTTCAAAACTCTCTCAAACCAAACGCTTTCCATTGCATCATCATGACTTGAAAGAGAACAGAATTAAGCCCTTCATGACTTACCTGAATCAATAAGAAAACAAGATTTGTGCATTTTTCCAATAAAAAGTTCCAATCCTATAATAGCATAGATTATGATTACAAACAATACCAAAAGGGCAATATGGAGCAGGGGGACCATGGCTTTTATAATGGAGTTCAAGACAACTTGTAAACCTGAAAGAAAAAAAGATTATATGAAACAGACTTCAATGTCTTGCCTTATATTAATTATGAAATGTTCTGTCACCATAAATTATTAGAGTGCTATTAGAATATTAGGCATGCAGAGTGCCATCAACTTTTAAAAAGTTTCTACTGCCCAGAACCACAAATGTCACTGTAATGTAAAATACTTCACGAAAGTCTAAAGCTTTGTGTTAAAATCTAATTATTTACTCTGTTAAATAAGGCTTACGCAGTAGAAGACAATGCTTGAAACGTGTCAGAAGAATTTGTGTGTGCATTGTTGTTGTTGTTTTTTTAAAGAAAGGGGCTATAGTCAGTTGTGGCTTTAGGTCATTTTGTATGACCTTTAAAAGGTCTATGCTGCAACTATGACTTTGTGACAAGTCCAGAAAATACATACACTGAGCCAATTGCAGAATTGTATCTTTGATCTGGAAAGACAACTAGAATCTTGCTACTTTGGAAAATACATTTCTACTCTAAACAAACTTAGATTTTAGTCATTTATTCCTCACATCATTTTCAGAATTACTTTGTTTTTCTTTTCTGCTTAATTACACATTTAGTCCATTTCTCTTCTTGCTGAAGAAGTACATCCCAGACTAATGAGGTTAACACCGCACCAGTTGGGGGCGGGGGAGGGGGGAATGCCTTCCTGGCATTTCATGAGAACGCTTCCTTCTTCCCTAAAGTTCTTTTGCTAAATATACACTATCACAATCATTTCCATGTAACAGACTGATATAATAAACACAGGGTTAGAGTTCTTCTTTCAAATCTACTGGAAAGAACTGAGTTGTAAGCCATGAAGCTCTTAGTCAGCCCAAATAACCTCAGTAATTACTAATGCATGGAAAGAAAATAGAAAGGAACATTAGAAAATTTGATTGCTTTTTTTTTTTTTTTAATTGCTCTATTTTTCAAGTTTCCTAGTTTATCTGTTAGATCTAGTAAGATAAACAGAAGGCATTCATGTGCACTGGAGGGGGCAGGAAATATGAAACGTGTATTGTGCTTTGGCATACATTTACCAACATGTAAACTATTTTAGGACCACCTACACTTTCAGAGCTCCAAAATTGGAATTAAAAAAAAAAAAATCTGAACTTTATTTTCTGGTGCAGTTGCATTTTAACATGTAATTTACTTTTACATAAAGCCTCTAAAAATGAAGTGCATTTCCTTGTCTGCTTACTGAACTGTGTAAGAAGATCATACACTGAATGAATTCACAATCTCTTGTTTGAGTGGAAATGGGATATCGTTCATCTTGAAACTCACTTTATCTACATAACTACATAACAAAAAAATCAACTTAATATTATCTCATTTATGCTAGTATCTAGAACAAGAAAGTTAAATAATTAAAATCATTACAGTATGAATTTCAAGGGAATTAAATAGAAGAGAGCTTACTGGGCACTCCTGATACAAGCCGGAGAGGTCGCAATACACGAAAGGCTCTTAGGGCTTTGACATCAAAGCCACCAGGTTTGCCACCTGAGTGGCTGCCACCTTCTGTTTCTTTGGTTAATTGTTCCAAAATTACACTAAATAATCTAGAAAATGAGATGAAGGGAAAAGGTCATCACCATGCCTTTACCATGCAATCAACGATATTAGGAAATTACTTGAACCGCAGGTAATTCTTAAAAGTTGTTCAACTGTCAAAATGACATGTATACTTAGGCATTAAATCAGGACAGGAAGAGTTATGAAGTGCAGGAGTTTCTAATCCCTCCAGAGAGTGATGATCACACAGTATCCAATAAATTATTATTCCGCTAGTATACAGTCTCTTCTATTTTTAATATATGAAGCTACTTTGCCATTTCTTTGTTCAAACATTTCAGCTGTAAGGTTTGGAGAATTAGTCCTCTCTTCAGAGCACGAAATAGATAATCACAGGAAACCATCTGTTTTAATTTTTATGAAATATATGAACTCCAAGTGACACCTCAGTTCAATATTCTAAATGCAGTCAGCAAAAACTGAATATATTAAAAATAATTAGAGTCCAACATTTAACAAAGCCAAAAAGATTTCTTTCCTACTCATAACAACTTTGAGGATAAAAATATTCCCAGATGAGTCACTTAATATATTGTATTTCTTGACTGAAGAAATGAGCTAGTCATTCATTAAAACAGTTTGGAAGATGAGAGATTTATTTTTCTTTCCCACTTTCAATAGCAATTCAGAATGATTCAAGCAGTTAAAGCTCAAAATAGTCTTACAGTTTTGGGGTGGGGGGGAGGATCTGTTTTTCAGGTGCATGGCTTTCTAGACTGCAGTTCTGGACCACGCAAACAACAGTAACTAACTCATCCTTTGCAGACAGCCTACATTTCAAAACTTGCAAAACTGAAATTTTAGTGAACGGATTACAAAGTCAATAAAGTTTTGATAATCCTGCCACGGGTTTTTTATTTGTAAAGGACCCCTGAAACGTACAGGTTTTTTGTTTCATCAAGGCAGGTTTTCACAACTCCGGTTATAGAGCATCTAACATGACAGAGTTGCTAGAAATCACGTAATGTTTAATAGCTTGCCCAAGCTAGAATACTGAAGGCTCAGTTAGCCCTCAATCTGTGTCAGTCGATTCCCATCACCGTTCTTTTTCACTCTCCTTCAGAATGAAATGCAATCAAAGGAGGAGCATGACATGACTCTTAGAATGAACATCAATCCATCAACCTACATACTAGCATAGCTGGAGAAATCCAGGCATTTCTTTCCAGGCATTACTTCAGGTTCTGATTCAGCAGCATAATTTAATAGAACCATAATTCTAAGAAATGAGCCATCTCAATGAGTTCAGAGTGACTATTCATGCTCTAAAGGCAGACATGATTAAACAGACTTCTGAGTCAAGTCCTGAGTTAAGGGAAACCACTTTCAGCCTGTCAGTCCATATATCATTCAGAAAATTAAAGGGCTACAGGTATAGGAAAGTGCTATGAAAGCTTTCTCTTTTAGGCTCTTATTCTTTCACTAGAATCAATGAAGGCTATGTGGCAAAGAATGCAGGATCAGGCAAGTAGTAGACTGCCCCGCAAGTAACTCATACTCTGACTGGTTTCAGAGAGAAGTGACAAAGACAAGAAAATACATGGCACGCACAGCTCTGATTTTACGTCTACCCTATGAAGTCAAACACCTTAATTAAAAAAGGAAAAAAAAAAAAAAAAAAAAAAGGAGGCAGGAGGGAGACATTTGTTCTCCTGTACAGTTTACTAAAGCTTAAATTCCCAATTTGACATTGGAAAAAAAGCCTCTGTACCTGCTCCCCTTTTTCCAGTAGATTTTTTTCATATAGTTGAAGATTTATGCAAGTTTCTGCTAAAAAAGCACACAAAGCAAATTTCATCTAACATGCTGAATATAGGACAACATGGCAGCTCTTTTGAAGTTATTAAAATATATAATGAAATTTCACAATGACACTAAGTGGAATAGAACCAGATCCAGAATAGATTCCATATCCACTTTGGGTTATAGATGAAAAAAATCAATTTTTCACTGGGCTTTTCTCTTATAGATTAATTAAATAAATGGACCCATGCTTGCTTGCTTATGTATTTTTCTACTAATTATCTTAAAAGACGACAGTACAGTGCAGGAGCAAGAATACTGCTCACAGAATTCTGTCAGTGCCTTAAGCATCCTATGAAGGGGCCACCTGTCTTCCAGGTAGGCTGATGACAACCTAGAATATAATTCACACTCCAAAACTGCTGTTCTTGAGCTAAGATTTAAATCTTAGTGTGATATTTTGGGTATCTGATGAGATGTAGTCCATTTTTTTTTCTTCTTTTCTATGGATTCAGTGTGAGCATTTGATATAATGAGTGTTGTATGAGTTAATGGAAAATTTTTTAGTTATCATGCATTTAGGACAGAGCCAAAGATAGAGGTCATGTTAATTAGACTGCTCCAGGGTTACTTTAACTCCATGGTCACTTGACAAAAAGGAAGAGGTCTATTCGAGTGACTGCCTAGCAAGAGAAAAGAGCTTTTGTGTATGATATTCTCCACACCTACCCACCAAGCTTCCCCTTCAGGCACACAGTCCAATCTGTTGAGAATGACTTGACCCGATGAAGGACCTAATTACATACAGATTTTAGTCCTGGACCAGAACTGCCTGAATGCCAAGCAACTAACCCACATGCAGTCTTCTTGGTAACTTTTACTATCTCAGAATAAAATATTTATAAATTGAGCACTGACACATTTATAATACTCCACAAAATTTAATAATGCTTTACGATACATTCCTTCAATTTGCATTCCCCCTGTAAAGACCGGGGGAGACCGGTAAAGACCGGTGTTAAAGGCCTGGGCCTTTTCAGTTACAGGCAACCCTTAATACAGTTTGAACTTAAAAATGAAGTTAGAACGGCACATTATTTACCAAAGTTTTCTTGGCAAGCCAGCCACAGCATACAAAGTTGTATGTAGAGAATGTCCTCCATGTACTATGCATCAATAATGTTTTAACTAAATATATTATACAGTACTGGAAATAACTTGTTTCAATATGATCTCTTCCCTATTTAGGGAATTATAATCTATGCTGTAAGATTAATTCCCTTGATAGCTGAAGGTAGGTTGTTCAAGTCAACTAGCACAATAGTTGAACCAAAGTTGCTGACATGAAAAGCCAGATGCTTCACGGATTATAAGCAAGTACACAATACAAGTGCAGCACGTTCCACTCTGCACACTTCCATGACCTGCATAAGGCCTGAGTAGTCCCTCCTCAGAGGAAGGGAACAAAAACTCCAGGGTTTCCTGTACAGCCAAAGGCATGGGGGGAAGGTGAACGACACCACGCACACACACAGTGACCATCCCTAGGCAAGCCAGGATCTTATACATCTGGGGCCTGATGTACAGCACCCCAAAAGATAAATATTGAAGTGTCCAAGTTTCCTCAGATCTCAGGAAGGTCAAGGAAGTACTCAATCACTCTCTTGGTCTCCCCAGACCATTCTCCTCCACCTCAACACAGGCGTGTTCTTCCAGAGGTCTATGTAGAATAAATGAACTCCACACTACCTTCAGTACAAGGATTGGTGAATAAGTGACCCAACACTGCACGGACCTAACCGAATAAACCTTTATTCATATGGAAAGACATAAGGAGTTCATCTGAGAAAACACAGATGGAAAAAAATTTGCAGGATAAAAACTGAAGAAAGTGCATCTTGCCAAATTTTTTAAGCAGAATTCAGAATTCACTGGGAACTTCTGCTATAAAGATGATAGTGCAATATAGCCCACAGCAGGCTATAGCCTTGAAAACTTTTAGGACTTTTTTTTTTTTTTTTTTTAAACTCCAAATGAATAAATGTCAAGCTTAGGCCCTTACTCATAACCAAACAGATCTATACCTACCATACTGTGAAGGAGATTTTGAAACCTTTTCATAATGAAGTAGGTTACTTACCCTACTACTACTATTACAAAATCCAATAAATTCCATCCATTTCTTACATATGCATTGGGGTGTAGTAATAATCCATATGCTATAATCTTCAAAAACGTTTCAACTGTAAAAATTATCAGGAAGGCATATTCTACTTTTTCCTGTAAAAGACAAAAAAAAATAATAATAATTTTACACCCCTTTTTTAGTTAGAATTTGCAGTAAGTGAGTAAACTTATTGATCAGGACTAAGAAGATACAGTACCTCATGACAGTTCATTTTGAGTTTTAATTGCACAGCATTTAACGATAGCTGTACCAACAAGGTTATAATTACATGATAATTTTCCTGTTTTCACATTCCTTGAGAAAAAAGACAAATAATCAAGGCTCTGTTTCTGCAAACAGGTAAGCGTATCGGGCCTTTACTTAGGCAAACAGTCCCATCAAGGTTTAAGGCTCTACCTTTGAGCTGGAGTCAGTGTTGTCACATACTAAGCAGCTTCAAAAAACAAACTATTTAGTGGTTCTTCTTTTTTATTTAATTTTACAAATTCTTTCTACTTTTTTGTCCTGACATGTTAAGTTTACTTTGACTTATTTGTCCTTCCACATCACCAGAATTGCTTTAAATAATCCTAATATGGTTGTAGAAATTGTAAGTTAAGTGCATCACCACTTTATATCATCTATTACATTTGCATCAATGACTTTTTTTTTCCCCCCCAAACATTGTTTCTTCATTTTACTAATATTCATTTTAAACAGAGCCATACATGGAAACTTTTCATAACTAGTTGGATAATATATTTTTGGTTTTTTTTCTATACACAAACACTTGAATATGGATAAATTGTAAAAAGCATTGCTAACAAAACAGATCAGTTAATACATTTGTTCTCTTTACCTTCAGAAATCATTTCACTGCTCTGTATAATATTTTGTTATCTGTTGCTATGCAAATATGAGATCCAAGAATACAAGACACAAAGTGAACGAGTCATGATTTTTTATACTTGTTTAGGAACTCGTGGATGTTGTTTACTATTATCAAATACAATGTTAATTATTTGGAATTTAAACTGCTCAGTAAGGATTACAATCTTCTACTATCATATACTCAAATTACACACAAAACTATGTATTTACTATTTATTTGTTACACAGCATTGACACTTTCATATATAACCAAATAAAGAACAAACCTTGACCATTTACAGTTTAACAGAAAAATCCTGTGCATGTCTTAATTTGGGATGCCAGATCTCTTTTTCTCATGAAAAGGCCATCTGGTGTTAGTTGTGTATAGGAATACAATATATTGTTTTATAAATTTGATATTGGTGAATTTAATAAATGGCAGAAGCTTATCAATAAACCATGTACTCCCACTCAGGCCTTTGCCCCCAACATGCGACAAAATGGGATCACTAGAGAACCATGGCTTCTCCGTAGCGCAAAGCAAAGTTTCCTGGATCTCATCTCCTGCTCATCTCAGTCTCGTACACCTGCCTTTTTCCTCTGCTTTAAGCACTGCTCAAACACTGTAGAGGCTTTACCCAAGACAACTTCTCCACAGCTGTTTTACATCTTACATGAGTTCTTCAGGCCCAGTAAAAGTGATGGAAGAGCCCCCCCCCCCCCAAATATTCATCTCAAAGTTGTCCTTCCATTTAACTATCAACTTAACAACAAACTGAAACATTTACTGAACAACAAGAGTGAAGTGGCCAAACAGAAGAAATTTGAGCGGCCTGTGCATTGAGACCCATCATATTTCTTTGGCTATAGGGCACCATGGAGGTTACAATGAGTTACCAGAAGTCCTGAGAAACATACTGCAGAAATGCTGAAATTCAAGCAAGTCCTACTATGTACACATTCCACAAGAACAGCTATTTCTGTCTCTCTGCATGCAACTAAGTTTGTAACTTGGATATGGAGAGATAAATAAATTAAGACAACGTAAGGAAGGCAAAAATATTATAGTTGGCATTTGCTGTGGGCAAAATACCTATCAGTTATCACAGTAATAAAAGAAAAGGTGAAATAAAAGAAATTTCATATACGCAGATCTGAACAACTTCTTCACCCGATAGAGATATAGGATTGAATGGGACCTTCTGGGCCAGGATGACCTCTTGGGCCATCACGCCCAGTGTCCTGCTATTACAGGCAAATATGTAATTTAATCCTATCTATAAACCTACCAGACTACATCCTAAAAAAATTACCTTCACCTTTCACTGTTCCTCTCCAAAGGATGTTCTAACGCTCTACTGCTATTTGGGCTAAGCATCATTCCTAATCCTAGAGTAACTTACTTAACAGCGGCATTATACTCCTGCAGTTCATTTGAATGATCCAGTTCAAATCTTTGTAACAACTCTACCCTACTACTTAGCATTTTTCTTTTAAAATAATATTAGTCTTGTTCCTGTTAATTTTTATTCACTTCTATTCTGATTTGCTAAACAGTACTGCAAACATTCTAGTGAAGCAAAATGTGATACAAGTCAAGCTTGTTTTTAAACCCAACAGTGGTAACTTACTGTCACCAACATATAACTTCTGGTTAATAGAGCAGGGAGAAAAAAAGTGAAGCTGCAATTTCAGTGCAATTACAACTATGTCTTCCTTTCAAGATTGAAAATGACAGTACCAAAGGAATAAGCATTTTAGAGCAGGCAAGATAAAAGTGAAATATTTGAACACCAGTAAGGAATAGTTTATGTGGACGGATACAACTTATGAAAGACCCTTTTGGAATGTTCATAACTGTTTTCCAGTTTTTCAAATCTTCCTCCACTTAGTAGGCACAAAGTTGGTTTTTAATGTTATTCCCATCCTCCCACCTCCTCATAGTGTGTTTATGGGGCAACATGCTGTCATGCCTATGTGGCCTAGAACAACATAAGTGGATCCTATACTTCCTTCCTGTCCTGCTTTCTTTCTTTTTTTCTTTTGGGCATTAGAATGGCTATTCCAAAGCAAGCCAGAACTCTGGATGGGCAGCAACGCAGCCACAGACAAGTCCATTCATTACCAGGTGGTAGAGCAGAGAACCTGATCCATTTCTACTTTCCTTTTTAATGCTTTCTTTATCCACAGTTTCTTCAGTATCTTCTGAAAATGGGTACATTGACGTTGTCAGATAACTTGGGTCTTTCATCCACTCTCAGGCTCGGGTCCCCTCATGTCCACACTGTACATGTTATTTCAAGCTGCTCTCTTGCCTTTGGAGTAAACGCCAGTTCCATTCACTACAAAATACCACTGCCTTTCCAGGGATAGCTCAGCCCAGGAATTGCTCCCAAAAATAGTAGGAAAAAACCTTAGCAGGTCTGGCTCCCTTCACCCTATCCAGTCCTCCAACACACCTGCAGCAGGAGGCTAAGGTTTAACAGTGGACTAAAATTACTTGAACAGGAGTTACAAAGACAATGGAGTCAAACTCTTCAAAGTAGCAGCAGATGGTAAAATAAGGGGGAACAGCCACAATCTGTGGCAATGAAAGCTCAGACAGGATAGTAAAAAAAAAAAAAAAAAAAAAACTTCTTACTAGGAGGGTAGTACAGCACTGGAACAAGTTACTCAGAGCTGATGGAATTTCAGCCTTGGAAGTTTTGAAGACTCATCTAGACAAAGCTACAGCCAACGTGATCGAGTGCTGACAACAGTCCTGCTAGGAGCTGAAGGCCTACGTGACCTCTCAAAGTCTCTCCCAGTTAACCCTCCTGTAACTTCTATAACTCTGAGCATCTCATGTGAGCATATGGGAAAACATGGGTAGAATCAGGACATGCATACCTACCTATATCCACTACACACTCAACGTGCAAAAGCCCCTGCTGCCTACTGCCCCTGCAGTGTTGAACTCTGTGAGAAAGTTCTCCTCCTCTTCCGTGAAAGGATGGAAAGGTTTCCAACCATCCTTGTTCCCTGTGGTAACGTATACATATGCTCTGGTTCCAGAATTTCCCATAGGTATACACGTTCACAATGGATAAAAGACAGAATCATAAACAGCTGCTATTAACTGTGCCAACGGCACAAGGGATAGATGCTTTTTAAAAAAATAGCCACTGGGCAATCCAAGAGCCACATTTCCCTGAAAGCCTTCAGAAAAAGGAAAGGGACCCAGAGATTTCTATCAGTCTACAACTGAGGAGACCTATTATTTTCCACGTTATATTTCTTTCTTCCTTCCCTTCTTTTTCCCTCTCTTCCATCCTTCCTCTCTTCCTTGTTTCCATCTTTTATCTTTTTCTCTTTCATTCTTTTTCTCTCTCTTGATCTCTCATGCTCAATTCCCCCCCTTCCCAGTCATGGCTTGCATCTTTTGCAGATGCTGGAGGAATGATTTGGCCCAGTCGTTAACAACAGTATCCAAAGTACAGGCTGTGCTTTCCTTACAGACTGTTTAGTAAGTAGGCATCCAACGGATGTTCTAAGACAAATTGCAAAGTTGATAACCTGCTCCCTCTCGAGAAGGTACTGGCAGTCCTTACACACTTCTATAACTTCTTGCCAGTGAGTATGGACATCAATCTTTTCCTCTGCAACCGAGATACATCTACAGGCCACATATCACATAGCCTGTCCAGAGCTTAAGCAAGCATTACTCGAGAGTAAAGTTAAGTTGAATCTACCATCCCATTTCATTGTTACCAGAAAGGCTGAAGAGAAAGGATTGCAATGTAAAGATAAATAAAAGCAGTAACAGGTATATTAAGAACACACACTGAAAACTAGTTCTAAGAGCTCATGAGGCATACATTTATCTGCTTTCTTACCTGTCTCTACCTTGGAAAAAAACCTACTCCTGCACATTCTTTCTTCGTTCACACTAATAAGATCTCTAAGCAAATACTTTATTCCAATAGAAATGGAAGAGGGAACACGAAGAAATAAGACAATTGAAAGAAAAATAAGGAAATATGTAAGACTGAATCGCTAAGAAGAAAATTTACATTAAACTGAGAAGGTAATTTTAGGTCTAGAAACTACATAGATTAAATTAGAAACTGTACATAATTTCTAATATCTATATTGAGTTTAGTTCTATATTGCATCACAAAATTAGCAGATAAAAAAAGATGTCTGGAAACCTAAAGAAAGAAGAAAACAGAAGTAATGTATCTATGCTACCTAAAGATCT